TCCCTTGTTTTGGGTTTTTTATTATTGATTTGGTTGGTTGGTTTCTTGTTGGTTTTTTTTTTTTTTTTTTTTGGTTGTGTTTTTTTTGTTTTTAAACAAGGTTTCTCTGTGTAGTCCTGGCTGTCCTAGAACTCCCTCTGCAGACCAGGCAGGTATTGAACTCAGAGACCCTGCTTCTGCCTCCAGAGTGCTGTGGTTAAAGGTGTGCATCCCCCCCCCCCCCCCGCCAGGCTAACTGTTCCTGTTTTTAATACCATAAATGTTCTGTCTATTTGTATATGCCTACCAATGAAATAATGTATAATTTGCTTTATATGTAGTTTTTTCCGTATAATTTTCATGAGATTCATCCATGCTATCAAGTATAAAAGTTCATTCTTTTCACAGCCGTTGCTTGAATATATATCAAGTACCAGTGACATCTGAGCTTGTTTCCGTTCTGAGGCCTAGAGGGAGAAGGTATGATGAACACTTCTGGTGGATGTATACTTTTCACTTCTCTGTTTAAATACAAATAAATTATATTCTCGGATCATTCGTGGACAACATTAAAAGAAACTGAAGATTTTCCAAGTGGCTCTAGGGCATCTGATGTTCACCTTGTTAGTGTTGTGTCTTATATCACTCTTTTTAATTTTTAAAAAGACTTCATCTTACGTGTGTCTGAGTATATGTATATGCACTGTGTATGTGCAGGTGCCCCAGAAGAGGGTACTGGGTTCCCTTAAACTGAAGCCACAAGCAGTTGGAGCCGCCATGTGGATGCTGGGAACTGAACTTGGGCCCTCTGTGGGGTAACTGGGGGTACTAATGGCTGAGCCATTTCTCCTGCCCCTCTTTTAATTTTTTAAATTTTCATTTCTCTAGTGATCCAAAACATTGAAAACTTTTAATAGAGCACATAATTATTTATACATAATTTGCAGAAGTATATCTATTCAAGTATTTTCTGCAATTTTAAGTCTGAATGCTTGTCTTTTATTATAAAGTTGCAGAGGATTCTTATTTTTTTTATTAACAACTTCTTTGTTACATACATGATGGTATTCATTTTGCAGTTTGCCTTTTCATTTTATTCTTTTAAAGATTTATTTATTTATTTTATGTGGATGAGTGCTCTATCTGTATGTTTACCTGCTTGCCAGAAAAGGGCACCAGATCTCATTATAGATTGTGGTAAGCTACCATGTGGTTATGGGAATTGAACTCAGGACCTCTGGAAGATCAGACAGTGCTCTTAACCGATGAGCCATCTCTCCAGGCTCCCCTTTTCATTTTCATAATGGTGAGAAAATGATAAGCAGTTATGAATGTTGATAAAGTCCAGCTATTAACTTTTTCTTTTATAATTAGTGCTTTCTGGTCTTAAGACATTTGCCTATGATCATGAAGTTATTCTACTTCTCTTCTAGCTTTTTAGTTTTAATATTTATATTCACATCTATGACCCATTATGTGTGATCATCTGAATAAAATTGGCCCCAATAAGCACATAGGGAGGGGCACTATCAGAGATGTGGCTGGAGTAGGTGTGGCCTTCTTAGAGGAAGTGTGTCACTAGGGGTGGACTTTGAAGTTCAAGTCTTCTGCCTGCTGATCTAGATGTAGCGCTCTCAGTTCCTTCTCCAACACCATGTCTACCTGCATGTTGACATGCTTCCTGACATGTTGATAATGGACTAATCCTCTTAACTGCAGGCCAGCCCCAACTGAGTGTTTTCCTTCATAAGAGCTGCCATGGTCATGATGTCATAGTCACACAACAAAACCCAAACTAAGACAGTGTGTGTGTGTATGCATATGTGTGGTATGAGTATACACAACACACACACACACACACATATGTATATATGTAAGTAAACACAGGTGCATATGTGACACAGCATTTATATGTATGTACATGTGTGTATATACATGTAAACACAGGCGCATGTGACACAGCATGTGCGTATATATGTAAACACACATATATATATATATATACATATGCATGTATATATATGTAAGCATATGTGACACAGCATGTGTGTACATCTGAGGACAATCTTGGGTGTGGCTGTTAGTTTTTCTATCTTGTTTTGAGACAGGGTCTTGGTTGCTTTTTATTTTGCTACATGTATCAGACTGGCTGACCTGTGGAATTCTGGAAATTCTCTCATTTATGTCAACTACCTAAGATGTGTTAAGATTATAACAGTAGTGCTACATGCCCAGCTTAAATTGAGTTCTGGGAATTTGTATGTAAGTCTTCGTCCACGTTATCCAATTGATATATTCAAGGACTCTACTCTTGGTTCTATTAACTGTAGCCCAACATACGGTTTCTCACAATTCCCTGCTGTACCTACGTATACATTCTCCAGCTATTGAGATCTGTCTGTCTGTCTGTCTGTCTATCCATCCATCTATCTTTCAGGTTTTTAGAGACAGGGTTTTGTGTAGCCTTGACTGTCCTCTGTAGACCAGGCTGGCCTTGAATTTACAGAGATCTACCTGCCTCTGCCTCCCAAGTGCATTTGCCACCACTGTCAGGCTGAATAAGTGTGTTTTTTTTTTTTTTTTTTTTTTTTTTACTTCATCCAACTTTATTAAAGAAAAAAAAAAGCAGTGGTGGTAAATCTCTAGAACATGGTCTATCTCCTAGGATTCCTCCCTTGAAAGTGACATTTGATTTCCAAAACACATGCCGGTGCCACGGTTCCCATCACTGAGCAGGCGAGAATATGACATCCAGAGGTGCTCATCTTCCAACTTTCCCCAGTCTGTGGTCTGTCTTTGGATCAGCAATAATTGCCTGAACAGCTACTATGGCTTCATTGATTTTCGTCTGTAGCTCTCTGAGCTCCTCTATGTGCAGCAACCGTAGGATCTGAGCAGCTTCGTTAAGAACTGCATCTCCTGTGTCAAAGCCAAGAATATGTTTGTCTAAAGCAACAGGTAAGCGCTCTTTTGTTTGATTTGCTTTAGCAACTGCATCCTGTGTTAGACGCTCCTGAACCAATATACGAATTGCCTTAAGCATTACCAAGTAGTCATCATGACGCTGAATCTGAAGGAGGTTAGCCAGAGCCATGACACCAGCCTTAAAATCAGGATTATTTACATCCAGGTTGATCAATGGCTCTGCATTTTTAGTTGCATTGTCAGTATTTTTCTTGTTATCAGGTACTAAGTCCTTGTATTTTTCAGCGTTATCTCCATATTCAAGCCTAACAGCTAAACCAAGAAGCCAATCAATTGCTTCTTGCCGATCCTGAATCTTGAAAGGACAGTTAACATCTCTGAGGTACTTTTCCAAGAACTTGGGCCAGTCACTGCTGTGGATGTTTCTCAAGTTACCTCTGTCTTTAATCTTGTAGTGTCTGATTTTCTGGTCTTCAAGCCAAACAATAAAGTTTCTAAATTCTGTTTCATCTTTGCAGTTGAAGCCTGCGGGGTTGTGGTAGTCCAGGGCCGTGAGCTTGCGTCGGAACATGGTCCTCGCTGCTCGCGCGGGCTGCCCGGGCCTCCGCCGGGGGAGAAGAAACGAGGCGAGGCAAGCGGTGCAGGCACCGGCGACGCGGCGAGCGTAAGTGTGTTTTTAAGTGTTAAGTCAAGTTGCTGTTCAAATCTGCTATATATTTACTCACATTTTGGTCTTTTTAGTCTTTCAATTACTAAAAAGCAGAAGTTAAACTTTCCTACTATAGGCATAAACGTTCTTTCTCTTTAATAATTTTTAGTTTGAGGTGTATACATTTAACAGTATATCTTCACTTACATTAGGAAGCATCCTTTGATCCTGGTAACAACACTTTTCTTTTATGTCCACTTTGTCTGATACTAATATACCCCTGAAGATTTCTCATGTTATTGCTTGATGTATATTTTTCATAAATCTTACTTACTTGCAGCATATTACTGTTTTTTTATATTTAAAGTATGTCAAATTGCTGGGCATGGTGGAACATGCCTTTAATCCCAGTACTCCAGAGGCAGCGGCAGGCGAGCTTCTGTGAGTGTGAGGCCAACCTGGTCTACATGCAAGTTCCAGGCCAGCCAGGGGTACATAATAAGACTGTCAAAAAAAATAATAAACCCTCAAATTGTTTATAATTAATAATCAGAAATCAGCTTTATTTTGGATTGCTGTCTTCCTACATGAGGCTCTTGAGATACGCTTCTGAGATATTCTTTATATTTTTGGTTTTCAGGATTTCACTACAACATGACTAAGATGTGTGTGTGTGTCTATGTGTTTGTCCTACTTAGGCTTTCCTGAACTTAACGTTGTTTCATATTTATCCTGTCATTTTTTTCCTTCTTGTTTACAGACTGAATACTTCCTATTGTCAGTGTTTCTGTTAATCTCATACTGGGCATCTGAAACTTTCAAATACACTTTTTGGTTCTAGAAGTTCTCAATTAGCCTTCTTCAGATGACACTTCTTACACATGGATGGTAGGGCTGGAGAGGTGGTTCGAGGGAAGAGTACTGATCCTCTTTCAGAGGACCTGGGTTTGACTCCTAGCACCTACGTGGCGACTAGTAACATATTATAGGCTTCAGTGTCTAACTCTTAGTGCTAACCATGTATAAATTGAGTCACTAACCCAAAACTATTTCTTAAACTTGCAATAACTAATTAACTTTCTTTAGAACATACAATTCTACCATGTTAAAGAAGTCTATTTAAAAACGAGATAACCCCACACCTACTTCATAGGGCTATTTTGAGGATTAAATGAGTTTCAGAATAGAAAGTATCTACAGTTGCTCCTGATAAACAGCCAACACCCAACAAGTCTTAAGAATCTATCACAGAATGATTTGTAAATTCATAGAAGAAAGATTACGAGTAAATACTGAAAACAGCAGAAAAACAGTAGCATGATTCAAAACTCAAATATTAAATGTATCTTTAGGTATTTTGGCTACTATCTTTATGTAAAAGACAGATAAGGAAATCAGCAATTTTAACCAGAAGTAATCAATAAATTGAGTTAATTTTCACTACAACTATAATTATATTTTAGAAGGGTTCCTTTAGAATATTAAAATATAAAAAATTTATTCAAAATAATAACAGCTTCTATGAAATATGTACTACATACATATAATAAACACCACAGTACCAACAATTCCATTTTCATGACACAGACATCTTCTTTTAATTATAATTTTCCTCCCTAGAATAATAAAAAATAATATTATGAATATTAAAACATATTGATTTAGCATTAAAATCTACCATAACATTCAAGCACATAATTTAAAGATAAAGTAGGAAATAAACAATCGAAGAAAACCAGGAAATGTCACTAATTTATCACATGATTTTAAAAAAGCAAGTTTGGGAGGGTATATAGGAGCAAACAGTTAAACCAGGTTTCACACTCCAAGCAGGGGCATAAAACTTAGATGCAGGGGCTGGAGGGACAGCTAGGCAGTTGAGAGCCCTTGCGCCTATTTCAGGAGACAGGGATTGAGTCCCAGCACTCGTGACTGTAAGTCTACTTCCAGGAGAGCCTATGCTTTCTTCTGGACTCTGAATACACATCAATTACCCTGTGCATTAAACCACATGATGGTACAAGCACCCACATACTCAAAGATAAAATAAATCTTAAAAAGTAATATGCAGATATCAACATCACATTATGCTTTAGACTAACACACAGTAAAGGAGGGCAAACCAGTTATATGAATATTGAAAAAAAATGAAGCAAAAATTAAGAGAGAAATGTTTGCAGATAAAGCAACACAGCATAGAGAAGAATAACAGGGAAGACCTGAGTTTTAAAAATTTAGGTCAAAATTTACCATACCTTGAATTTGACCTGGATTGTGAATTGGAAAATATTACCATGTTCCTATATATTTCCTTGTTCTCTTACTTCATCTTTTTTTTCTATCTTTTTCCTTTTACTGACTTTGTCTTTTCATAACTACCTTTTATGAACTATTTGCTACTCTTTTTGGAAATAGGATGGATATGAGTAATATTTAATAAGTTCCTAATAGGGTTCTTAATCAACTTTGCTGTAGTCCAAAACAAAATTAGAATAAGAGGATTGTTTCTTCCATTGTTTATTTTGCTGTTGTTGTTTTGGTTTTTTTGCCAACAGAATATATCTCAGCTGGCTTCCAGTTTGTGTTCTTCTTGCCTCAGTCTGCTCAGTTACAGGGCTAAGAGCAGGAGGGCTTGTATTTGTTTTGTTATTGTTGCTTCAGCTTTAATTACATGTGTGAGCACATTGGGGGGGGGGGGGGGCGTCCTGCATGTCAGTGCAGTGTTGCCCAGCAGAAGGTGGCTGTCAGATTCCCTGAAGCAGAGGTTGTGAGGTACCTGACATAGCTGCTGTGAAACACACTTGGGTCCTCTGCAAGTTCATTACACACTCTTAACCCTGAGCCATTTCTCCGGCCCCAGAACAAGAGTTCTTAACATGATGCCTCTAACAATATGAATGTAATCAGAATTTTCCATGTACACAAATTTTTTTTTAGTTGAGCTTTTGTCAGAATCAGGAAGCTGAGTTAACGTTGCTGTTTTGAGGCTTTATTGTGAACTAAATTTCCAATATAGAAACAGAAAGATTGCTAACTAACAATAGGAAAAATCAATTTTGGGGGCTGCAACCCAAGAAAGAAAGCTAACACTTGTCAAGCACTTCTCATGTGTCAGTGCTAATGCTCGCTCAGTTGTGCTAGTGGGCTTTAAGACCACATCCTCTGTAGCAGCGCTGGGTCAAAGTCAGCTGATGCTCTACACACAGCCCACTTTTACTGCTTAAAATAAACTGCTTGACCATCGTTTACACCACTCAGATGTTAAACTAAGAGGGATGGAGAATGTAACTCAATAGCAGAGTACTTGCTTAGCACATGCTGGACACTGGATTCAATTCCTAATGCCACAAACAAGCAAATAAATTTAAAAGTCAATGTTATATAGCCCTAACCAGCTGACTCTTTTTTTGTTTGTTTGTTTGTTTGGAGATGGGGTTTCTTTGTGTGGCCTTGGCTATCCTGGACTTGATTTATAGACCAGGCTGGCCTTGGACTCACAGCCTCTGACTGCCTCTGCCTCCCTGAGAGCTGGGATTAAAGGTGTACACCACCACTCTTAGAACCAGCTGACTCTTGGAAGAAGTGAAACCAAAACTAGAAAACAAATATAATAGCTCAGAACCTCTTTAAACTGAATTTTGTTTGTTTGTTTTTTGAGACAGGGTTTCTCTGCGTAGTCCTGGACTCACTTTGTAGACGAGGCTGACTTAAAACTTACAGAGATCTGCCTGGCTCTGCTTCCTAAGTGTGCTACTGAGCCCAGCTTTCAATACTTTTTTCTTAAAGACTTGTATTTTTTCTTATCTAATTCACTGTTACCTTTCTTTTAAATAGAAAGTGAGAAAATTCATAGCTAAGATTGATAACTGTTAAATGAAATTCTGGCTTGCTAATCATTTTACTCTTAATTATTTAGTCACTTGTATGTATGTTGAATTAATAACTAAATACTAATTTGTAAAATGTGGCATAAGAGACTTTTAAATTAAGATGCTGAGCCTTGATCTGAAGGCTAGTTCTGCTTCTCAGTTCATTTTGTCTACTATTAAGTATGCATTGCACTAGTTTCTAGTTTGAAAGCAGGACTTTAATATTCTTTAACTCAGGAAACTTCAAGTTGAGTTATTACAACAACCTAGTATGTCAAACTGATAGAAAGATAATTTAATCAATTAGAGATGGATTGCTTTTGGTTTTGTCTGACGGATGATCATCTACAAGCTCTAGGGAAGCACTGGATTAATTGACGGCAGAAGCTATGCAGATGTGTATGGCACCAAAGTAAAGGGAGCCCCATGGAATGTTTTGTCCTGGCTCTCATACTCCTAACTCCTGTATTATTACACTTAACTTGTAAAGATAATTCCCTTCACTTTTAATGTTCATATTTAGTATGCACTGCTACTATTGATGCTTCAATTTCTGTTGTTTTTGTACAGTGAATGACAACATTAAAATTTTAGTTTGGCTGGGTGTGGTGGCACACACCTGTGATCCCAGCACTCAGGGGGCAGAGACAGGAGGATCTCTGTGAGTTCAAGGCCAACCTGGTCTACAAAGCTAGTCTAGGACAGCCAGAGCCACACAGAGAAACCCTGTCTCAGAAAACAAACAAAACAAAACAAAAAAAGGGAATTTCTCTCCCACCACAAGCCTTCTGGCCCACTTGTTTGTTTGCATATCTGTATTGCCTGTCTTCTTTTTCTTTCTTTCTTTTTTTTTTTTTGGAAGAAAAATATTTTTATTATTTAATCACTTTACAACCTGATCCCTTCCCTCCTCTCCTCCCAGTCCCAACCTCACACCCTCATCATCCTATTTCTTCCTCTTTCTTCTCAGAGAAGGGGATGCCCCAGGGGTACCAATCCACCTGGAACCTCAAGTCACAGCCGGACTGAGCACATCCTCTCCCATTGGGGCCTGACAAGGCAGCCCAGCTAAGGGAAAGGGATCCAAAAGCAGGCAACAGAGAGAGCCTACAGCCTCTACTCCCATTTTTAGGGAACCCACATGTTGACCATACTGCACATTTGCTACATATGTCGGGGGGGGGGGGTCTAGGTTCAGCCCATGCATTCTCTTTGGTTGGTGGTGCAGTGTCTGTGAGCCCTCATGGGCCCAGGTTGGCTGATTCTAGGTCTTCTTGTGGTGTCCTTGACCCCTCCAGCTCCCTTTATTCTTCCTCCCACTCTTGCATAGAACTCCCATTCCTCCCTAGTCCTAACACATCTGTCTTCCTCAGAGTAGATAAAATGTCCAGGTTCCTCAGGCCAACATGGACGTTAATGACATCTAACTGCAGGAGACATCTTCCTCCATGGAAGACAGTTTGAGACACGAGCCTAGTCTTCTGAGAGGTTTCATCCAGCAGCTGATGGAAACTGATGCAGAGACCCACAGCCAAAAAAACAGGCCAAGCCTGTCTTCTTTTTCACTGAGGTAAATGGACTGTGTCCCCTTCTCTTTTATAGAAGAGCAACCCCTCAACCTCTCTATAAGCTCATCTTAAGTCTACCTGAAAGACGTTTCTCCTCCTACTCTCTGGGATAATTTGTCATTATTCATGTCTACTATATTACCCATTCCAAATCACAAAATGTTTATCCCTTAAAAAACAGAAGACTACCCTTTTAAAACCACAACTTCATTTGTCTTCTTTACTGTTATCTAGAAGTTGTCTTCTTAGTGTTTCCTCACTAACAAACCTACTATGATAAAGCTTTTATATCTACTCTCACTCCGAAGCCATTTGCACAAAGGCCATCAACAGCCTCCGTATTAACACATACAGCAGTCAAAATTGCTCTTTGCTTAATTTAGCAACCTAGGCACAATGGATCTCCTTATAACATGCTTTGTATTTCATATTTGTGAACTATTAGCACTCAGTTTTTTCTATTTCATAAATTGTTTTTCAGTTAATTACTGACTATACACACACACACACACACACATACACACACACACACACACACACACACACACACACACAAACACAAGTGGCCTGCCCTGAGGGGCCTTTTGGATTCTGACACCATCATCAGCTGTACCAGGGGCTCAGGATTTAAGGCCCACCACCACTCCAGCTCTCTCTCTTTCTCTCAGTTTCTCTTGCTCTTTGTCTCTTGATCGCTCTCAGTCTCTGTCTCTGTCCATCTCTGATGTTTCTCAGTCTTTCTCTTCATCCTCACGGCTCATTCAGGCTCTAATCTCTCCCTTCCTCCCCTCCCCATGAATAAACCTCCTTTATACCAGACATGTTGCATGGTGGCATAATCATTTATTCCAACATGCCCGCTGCCTCAGCTCTTTCTCTTTCAACCTCTTTCTCAGATGGGGTCTCAATGGACAGTCCTGACTGCCTGGACCTCAGAGATCCACCTTGCTTCTTTCCAAAAAGTTGTTTTTGTTTCTTTGGTTTGCTCATTTTTTTTTGTTTTTTTTTTTCTTTATTTGTTGTTTGTTTTTGACACATGCAGCTAGGATGACCTGGAAAGTACTCAACCTTAAACTCTAATCCTAGCACCTTCACAGTTAGATCCCATAACAACAATATAAAATGTCATTATAATACAGTTCTGTATAGTGAGCCTATAAAGGTCAATGTCCAGTGTATGATGCAGTGCTGAAGACTGACCCCAAGGCATCAGACACAGTGGGCAGAATCTTCAATCTCTTGAATGCAAAGTAAAATACTCAGGAATGATTGTTTCTGTTTCAGTTTATTCCACTGGTTTAACTCCGCATTATGGCTTTAAATATCATCTATATGCTGATGATACCTAAAATTTAAACTTCAGTTTCAGAAACCCAATTGTTCATAATATCTTCAAGCTACTATGCAAATATTCCCAATTTAAGGAAGCTTGAACCTTCTGATCTCAAACATTTTAGATAAGGGAAAGTCGATTTATATGGGATTTTTTTTCTCAAGTAATAAAATTATATTCACTGAAGAAAATTTATTATTATTATTATTACTACTACTACTACTACTACTACTACTACTACTACTACTACTACTA